ACGGGTGGTTGCGAGAGTGTCAGGGTAGGTGTCTAGCTGTTTCCATTGGTGCAACCACGGTGGAAAGTCCAGACACTACCTCCATCGTGCTCATTCCCCCCGAATCCCTCGATTTGGCGCACGCGTTTTCCAAACCGCAGGCGACCAAATTACCACCTCATCGATCGGGGGATTGTGCCATAAACCTCCGGGTAGACGCTGTGCCTCCCAGGAGTCATGTGTAGGCTGAAACAGAGGCGATGGAGACATACGTCTACGAGTCCCTGCGCCAGGGGTTCATAAGTCCCTACACCTCACCCGCCTCCTTGAGTTAATTTTTTGTGAAGAAGAAAGATGGAGGTCTGCGCCGGTGCATTGATTACCGAGCACTGAACAAGGGGACAATACGTTATAGTTATCCTCTACCCCTCATTCCATCGGTAATCGAGTAACTGCATGGGGCGCTCTTCTTCACAAAATTAGATCTCCGGAGTGCATACAACCTGGTGCGTGTCCGAGAGGGGGACGAGTGGAAGACAGCATTCAGCACAACCACGGGGCATTACGAATACCTGGTGATGCCATACGGTTTGATGAATGCTCCATCCGTCTTCCAGTCCTTTGTGAACTAGGTGTTTCGGGACATGCTTGGTCGCGGTGTAGTGGTCTACATCAATGACATTCTGGTGTATTCCGCTACACACGCCGAACATGTGTCCCTGGTTCGCAAAGTATTGGCCCGACTGTTGGAACATGACCTTCATGCCAAGGCAGAAAAGTCTCTGTTTTTCCAACAGTCCGTCTCCTTCCTCGGATACCGGATTACCACCTCAGGTGTGAAGATGGAGGGAGATCACATTACAGCCGTGCGTAATTGGCCGACTCCAACCACGGTAAAGGAGGTGCAGTGCTTTATTGGCTTTGCCAACATCTATCGGAGGTTTATCTGGGGCTTTGGCAAGGTCGCAACTCCCATCACATCTCTGTTGAAGGGTGGGCTGTCCCGGCTCCGCTGGTCTGCTGAGGCTGACAGGGCCTTCAGTAACCTGAGGGTTCTGTTCACCTCAACCCGGGTACTGGCCCATCCCGATCCATCACTACCCTTCGTAGTGGAGGTGGATGCGTCCGAGGCAGGGATAGGCGCTGTCCTATCTCAACGCTTGGGCATGCCACCCAAGCTCCGCCCCTGTGCCTTCTTCTCCAAGAAGCTCAGCCCGGCGGAGCAGAACTACGACGTTGGTGATCGGGAGCTGTTGGCTGTTGTCAGAGCCCTGACCATGTGGAGGCACTGGCTCGAAGGAGCGAAACACCCTTTCCTCGTCTGGACGGACCACCATAACCTGGAGTACATCCGGGCAGCAAGGAGACTGAACCCTCGCCAGGCCAGGTGGACCCTATTCTTCACCCGGTTTGATTTTACAGTGTCTTACATCCCGGGTACGAACAATGTGAAGGCAGACGCACTGTCACGGCTGTACGACACAGAGGAGAGGCCAATAGACAACAATCCCATACTCCCGGCCTCCTGCATTGTGGTGCCAGTAGTATGGGCGATGGACGCGGACATAGAGCGGGCGTTACGCACAGAGCCATCTCCATCTCAGTGCTCAGCTGGGCTACAGTACATGCCATCTCTTGTCCGTGACCGTCTGATCTATTGGGCACACACATCCCCCTCCTCTGGTCACCCACATATCGGCCGTACAGTGCGCTGCCTGACCGGAAAGTACTGGTAGCCTACCTTTGCTAAGGACGTGAGGATGTATGTCTCCTCCTGCTCGGTGTGCGCCCAGAGCAAGGCACCTAGGCACCTCCCAGCGGGTAAGTTACAGCCTTTACCAGTTCCACAACGGCCATGGTCCCACCTGTGTATTGACTTTCTCACTGATCTTGCCCTCTCTCAGGGTAACACCACCGTCCTGGTCGTTGTGGACCGCTTTTCAAAAGCCTGCCGCCTCCTTCCTCTGCCTGGTCTCTCCACGGCCCTGCAGACTGCGGAGGCCCTGTTCACTCACGTCTTCCGGCACTACGGGGTGCCAGACGACATAGTGTCTGACCGGGGTCCCCAGTTCACATCCAGGGTCTGAAAGGCGTTCATGGAACGTCTGGGGGTCTCGGTCAGCCTGACCTCTGTGTTTCACCCCGAGTCTAATTGGCAGGTGGAATGGGTGAATCAAGATGTGGGTAGGTTCCTGCGGTCCTACTGCCAGGACAGGCCGAAGGAGTGGTCGGTGTTCTTGCCATGTGCCGAATATCTCCAGAACTCTCTCCGCCATTCCTCCACTAACCTATCGCCATTTCGATGTGTTTTAGATTATCAGCCAGTTCTGGCACCATGGCATCAGAGCCAAACCGAAGCTCCTGCAGTGGATGACTGGTTTCGGCATGCGGAGGAGACGTGAAACACTGCTCACATCCACCTACAGCATCAGAAGGCCAACGCTGACCGCTACCACAGTGAGGCCCCGGTCTTTGTACCGGGTGATCGGGTCTGGCTCTCGACCCGGAATCTGCCCCTCCGCCTGCCCTGCCGGAAGCTGAGGCCGCGGTTTGTGGGGCCGTTCAAAGTCCTGAGGAGAATAAACGAGGTTACCTATAGGTTACTACTCCCTCTATAACTCAAGACTTAATGGTCAATACACTCTGTATGGAAAACGCTGTACAGTTCATTAACTAACACACAACGACTCATTACATAAGACTCTATGACCACTTGAGTCCCACGGTCACTCCGGCGTGATTTAGTGCTTCTAAGCCCTCTTAAACATTGTGTGTTTGAGCTATAGATTTCTGTTTTTTTGCATTGGATTTGTCTAATTATTTTGCAACCGCTGCAGCGATTGACGGGGGCTGAACTAGAGCGGTGTTTGTGAGAAGGGTGGACCTCGAAAACGGTTATTCTCACAAAATCGTCTGTAAAGTACAAACGGTTTGAGCTACAAACTATACACAAGCCACATACATTGTCTTCAGAAAGTATTCCAAATTTTGTTGTGTTACAGCCTGAATTTAAAATGGATTACATTTATATTTTGTGTCACTGGCCTACACAATGCCCTATAATGTCAAAGAGGAATTATGTTTTTCATTTTATTTACAAATTAATTACAAATGAAAAGCTGAAATGTTTTGAGTCAATAAGTATTCAATCCCTTTGTTAAGGCGAGCCTAAATAAGTTCAGGAGTAAAACAATTCTTAACAAGTCTACTAAGTTGCAAGGACTCTGTGCGCAATAATAGTGTTTAACATGATTTTTGAATGACTACCGCATCTCTGTACCCCACACATATAATTATCTGTAAGGTCCCTCAGTCGAGAAGTGAATTTCAAACACAGATTTAACCACAAAGACCAGGGAGGTTTTCTAATGCCTCGTAAAGAAGGGTTCCTATTGGTAGATGTGTTTAAAAAAAAGCTGATATTGAAGATTCCTTTGAGCATGGTGAAGTTATTAATTACACTTTGGATGGTGTATTAATACACCCAGTCACTACAAAGATACAGGCGTCCTACCTAACTCAGTTGCCGGAGAGGAAGGAAACCGAAACCGCTCAGGAATTTCACCATGAGGCCAATGGTGACTTCAAAACAGTAGTTACAGAGTTTAATGGATGTGATAGGAGAAAGATGAACAACATTGTAGTTAATCCACAATACTAACCTAATTGACAGAGTGAAAAGAAGGAAGCATGTACAGAATAAAAATATTCCAAAACATGCATCCAGTTTGAAACAAGGCACTAAAGTAATACTGCAAAAAATGTGGCAAAGCAATTAACTTTTTGTCCTGAATACAAAGTGTTAAGTTTGGGGCAAATCCAATACAACACATTACTTAGTACCACGCTCCATATTTTCAAGCATAGTGGTGGCTGCATAATGTTATTGGTATGCTTGTAATTGTTAAGGACTTGGGAGTTTTTCCAGGATAAAAAAGAAACGGAATGGAGCTAAGCACAGGCAAAAACCTAGAGGAAAACCTGGTTCAGTCTGCTTTCCATCAGACACTGGGAGATTAATTCACCTTTCAGCAGGACAATAACCTAAAACACCAGGCCAAATCTACACTGGAGTTGCTTACCAAGAAGACAGTGAATTTTCCTGAGTGGCCGAGTTACAGTTTTTACTTAAATCTACTTGAAAATCTATGGCAAGACCTGAAAATGGTTGTCTAGCAATGAACAACAAACAATTTGACAAAGCTTGAAGAATTTTGAAGAGAATAATGGGCAAATGTTGCACAATCCAGGTGTGGAATGCTCTTAGAGACTTACCCAGAAAGACTCACAATTGTAATCACTGCCAAAGGTGATTCTACAAGGTATTGACTCAGGGGTGTGAATACTTATGTAAATGAGATATTTCTGTATTTCATTTTCAATACATTTGCAAACATTTCTAAAAACATGTTTTCACTTTGTCATTATGGGGTATTGTGTAGATTGGTGAGAATTGTTTTTCCATTTAATCCAATTCAGGCTGTAACACAACAAAATGTGGAATAAATCAAAAGGTATGAATACTTTCTAAAGGCACTGTAAGAGTCTTTAGAAGGTAAGGGCTTCTGTTCTTCTACATAGATCATAAGAAATCCCAGGACATAGTGTCTACAATACCGTAATATGCTCACATAGTTGTTGTCACAAACTCAGGTGGATATTACCTTCCCACTGAACAAACACTTTCTGTACTTACAACATTCTTATAAAAAATTTTTTGCTTGGTGGACCATATTTGTTTATTGACATTTGTCAATAAAACTCATAAATGCAACTGTTTGTCAAATTGTTTTGTGTTCTACTTGTAGCCCTGGTTGTCCTGAAACGAAAATGGTAAAACTCTTCAATGTGACACTTCCTGGTTCCAACTGAGTCTAATGCTTTATAACACATGAATAAGCTGCTAAAACAATAAATCGTAAACACGCTATACGAATACTCATTACTTAAGCATCAATAACTAATTAACTAAGCATGTATAACACATGAATAAGCGCTCATTACCACTATTACAACAGTAATTAATCCACGTACCGGTACTTCATGCCAGTGAGCTTGGCGGTGGACTCCTTGAGGTTGTGGTGGTAGCGGTTGGTAAAGGAGCCCAGGCTGCGGGCGATGAGGGCCACCGTACGGAAGCGTGCCCGCGCCTGGCTGGCCGTGTTGGTGCTGGTGGCGTTCTGCTTGCTGTGCCCTCCATTCCCCGGGGGCCTCAACCCTCCTCTTCCTCCGTCCTGGTCCGAACATGCAAACGACACCTGCATGGTGGTGGCTGTACTGTCGGTGGTGGTGGGCTACTGGGGCTGCTTGCCCTGCTCCAGGCTTCACTCGGCTGTATGTGTCTGTAGTGTCTTTGTCTCTCCTTTGGTAGTCCTGCACTTCACTGTTTTGTCTAAAAGTCACCTCTGTCACTCTCTCTCTCTCTCTCTCTCTCTCTCTCTCTCTATTTATGTCTCAATTTGTCTCTCGCTCTCTATATCCTGTTCTCCTTCTCGTTCTGTCTCTCAATCTACCTCTTTCTCTTCTGTTTGTTCTATCTAGCTCTCAGCCCTTCTCTTTTTCTTCCCTCCTCTCCTCTCAGGCTAGTCTGTGCCACTGAGGAGGTTCTCTGGGTGTAGGGGACAGCGGGTCCACAGTGGTGGAGGGGTCTCCTTCGCCCTCCAGCGTCGGCTAAGCCCTCCAGTCAAGAACCAGGAGCAGACTGCACTGCATACAGAGCAGCACACACAGACACACACACTCTCTCACACACAGACTCTCTTACTCACTAATAACCAAATCTTCACAGACCAACACACGCACTCACGCTCTCACATACACAGACAAATCTTCAGTCTTCCAAATCTACACACTGTCACATGCAGAGACAAACATTCTTACACCAAGCCAGATATCCATAACGTTGGAGACTAAAGGAATGAAGATTCTTGGATTGTCCTTAAACTTCAAGGAGAAGTGAGCTGTCCTGTGAAGAAAGCAGGAGTCCCACCAAGACTTGCATCCCACCAGGACCTTTGGTAGTGTAGAGAGCTGATGTGCAAGCTTCCTAGCCCGGGAAGTTCCGCATCTAAAAGTCCACCATGCTGAGAAGAGAGGGACAGCTTCCAATGCTCTGCTCAGAAGGAAAATGGGGTGAAAGCGCTCCGTTTGATACAGAGACGCCAGAATGATAGCGAAGAAGCGAAGAAGAGGAGGAGGAGTAGGAGGAAGGAAAAGGACGAAGCATGATCCCTCTCTTCTGGAAGGAAAGGACAGGCGTACAATGAGAGGGGGAGTGAGGAGCTGAGAAGGAATGCATGGTGGTGAGTGTGAGAGTGAGCGAGGGAGTGAATGAAAGAGAGAGACAGGCTGCTGCCTCTAAATGACTGGCTGAAATAACCACAGTGTTTTCTCACTAGCAACACACAGAGAGAGGAGAACACAGTGTGGATGGAAGGGACAGAGCTGAAGCCAAGTGGTGTGTGTGTGTGTGTGTGTGTGTGTGTGTGTGTGTGTGTGTGTGTGTGTGTGTGTGTGTGTGTGTGTGTGTGTGTGTGTGTGTGTGTGTGTGTGTGTGTGTGTGTATCAGAGAGTGTTTGTTTCTTGAGGTAGATGCTCAGTGGTGTTATAAGCCGCGTTAACTACGGGTGCTGGGTGGTGGGATGGTAAAACTGCAGAAGAGGTGTAAGAACTTGTGTTTTCTGTTGCATTATTGATATAAATGATAATAATATTGGATTTTTTTTATTTTTATATATTCATAAAATCTTCAAACTATACAACAAAGCCTTGACAATACACTACCGTTAGGTTTAGTTTTTCTAGTTGATTCCTTCCTGTAGTCTAACAGTAGCATTTACAAGGTCAAGGTCAATAAAAATCAAAATGTCTCAGAAAAATATATATTGACAAAATTAATAAATTGCCACGGCTGAATTTCTGTAGTTCATTGCTTCCCATGGCGCCCCCTTCTGGCTATTGGGAAAAAATTCATAGTGTGATTTCAAAATGTATATGGCAAGGTAAGCGATCCCGGATAAAATTAACAAACTTACAAAGAGGGAAAGATGTAGGAGGACTATCCGTACCAAACTTTAAATTGTATTTCCAGGCACTAGCATTTCACCCCATCCTAAATAGGTTTAGACATGGTTATTCTGCCCCCTGGCTGAGTATAGAGAGAAATATGGTGTCTCCTATTCCCCTGGAAGAGGTAGTCTTCACTGATATATCCCTTATTAAACAATGTAAACTACTGTTTGGTCCTATTATTTCTCACACATTTCTATTTGGTGCAAAAATTTAAGACAATGTAACTGGGAATCAAAATGGCATGCCCATATCCCAATATTTCACAATAATACCTTGCGATTTGGAAGGCGGCTTTTTGCATCCCCCCAATGGTCCCATGTGGAATCCGTACCCTTACCGATATCATGTACAGTAATGGTTTGAGAACATTCCAAGATTTAAAAGATACATACACATTACCAGGCAACTGTTTTCTATATGTACAACTTAGGTCAGCTATGCTGGTGTAAGGGTTGGTGTGAGGTGTGACCCAGGTGCGGTGCAAGATAGACAGTAGGCAGTAGGCAAAGATGGACTGCTCCTCCGGCCCATAACCCTCCCAGTCCACCAGAAATTGGAGACCCCTCCCCACTCACCGGCAGTCCAGGATCCGGTCCACAGTAAAAGCCGGCTGCCCTCTGACGAGGCGCAGCAGGGGGTACAGGACGAGGACGGGGAGCCAGGGGACAGGTTGCGACAAGCTTGAGGAGGGACACATGGAATGTGGGATGCACCCGCATGGTGGGGGGAAGTTGCAGGCGGTAGGCCACTGGGTTGACTCGCCGCACCACTCTAAATGGCCCGACGAACCGGGGGGACAGCTTCCTAGACTCCACGTGGAGGGGAAGATCCTGCGTGGAGAGCCACACCCTCTGTCCCGGGTGAAAGACCGGGGCCAGGCGACGCCTGCGGTTGGCCTGATGTTGATCCATTCCCATGGAACAGCTTCAAGGATTCTGCTTTGATGGAGTAACATGTCAGGCCATTTTTCAGGTGTACAGGCTCGACTGAAAGAGGTATTTCCAGGGGTCCATGTACAGCATGTGCACAGTAGGAACCATTCACTGGTTTTGGTTTTGCAAGAAGTTACCCGCGAGGTGAGCCTGACACACTGAACTTTGTGCAGGGCATAGCCGTCGTCATAAGGGAATCACACAAGCGCAAACAGTTATACGAGTCGCTTTTTGGTGTGGAAGAAGTAGTGATCAACATCCTAGGGCTGTGTCCAACCAGGTGGTGCGTGCACACAAAAGCTATCTTGCACGTGAAATAAAAGTTAAATACAAACATTTGTAAAATCTCCAATAAAAACAACCATTCTATCAGATCTTTCAGCACCCTGACAGAGTTGAGTTGACGTTAGACAAACATCTGCCGGAGTTGATATGTTTTACTTCTTCATTCAAGTCGTGTATACACAGTAGCAATTTAATTTTTCCTCAGTTGCTTTATGACTCTAAAACCTAATTAAATGTAACATATTTGAACCAAAATTCATATTCTATCTTAATCTATCAGGCAGATGGAGTTGACAGTTTATGATTGTGACCATGGTGATTCCAATATTGTTTGTATAGATCTATCAAAGTAGAGAACTTTACAGACTATGAGTGGTCTTGTTGCACTACATGTAATGAGGACATGAATAAGGGGTCCTTATGGTATAGCTGACCCTGTTCAGTCTGATGGAGTTCATTACATTTCCGGACACATATTTTAAGAATCACAGTTTTGAGAGAAATATTCTTAAAAGTCACAGAGGGCTATTGCAAGAAACTACTGTACATAAGATAATTTCTCAGTTAATATCCGTTATTGCCATATTTTTTAAATATTTTGTAAAAAATAATTTGGAGAGCTTCAAATTGGGATCCTTTGCTCCAGGCATTTTCAGGCATAGAGCCGACATCGAAATTAATAATATTGAAAGTATTTAGAAAATTCCAAAAACAAATATTTTCCCTTATAGAATTCCAGTAAACTTACATTTTAAGCTCAAATAATGCAACAAAATAAAATAAAAATTCAACTATAAAAATTACGTTTCCCTGCAGTATAAGGATTGTCCCGACTTTAAAGAATTCCTGAGCTAATTTCCTGATATTCTACACATTTTGCCATGAGGCTGAAAGAAAATCATGGCTAATGATGTGTTCATATGCTATCTGGGGGGCCCAACCTCCAGGGGGACGCTGATGTCCATCACGCTTGTGACTCAATGCCTGTAAGCCAAAACGTCCTCCTTGTCCAGCCCATTTAAAAGTATGTCACTCAAAGATGTCAACTAGAACTGACACATTCTAGGTTGGAAGAATCCCCAACGGGCGATGATGACTCTGATTATCCCCCCGCTAGCTACTTTACCACAGTAAGAATCTATAAATGAGTTGTGGAACAGACAGCTTAGATTAGAATGTCACTGAGACAGAGACTCAGCCTATATAAGAAACTGTGATATGCACACAGGGGAATATGAAAATGCACAATTAGGTTGTTAGAAATTCCACAAAACGTAAGATTAAGACTTCCTGGTTAAATAAAGATAAAATAAAAAATTTAATTCACCAAGACCAATTTATGAATCACATTGTCAGTAGGTATCGTTTTATTGCAGGCAATTACTTTCTCAAACCTGAAAACACACAGTACAAACCAATGAGTTGTCACCAGGAGTGTAGGCAAAACTTAATTATGTAGAAACAACAGTGCATATATTGCACATAAGAGAATACACTGTGGATAAAGAGGGGAAACGTTTTGAATGAGGTTGTGACGTCACTGCTGCTGCTGTAGTCAGCTGATGGTTGACGTCTCTCTCTCTTGTTTTCTTTCTCTCCATTTCTCTTTTGATTTCTTAATTTCTTTCTCTATTTCTATCTTTCTCTCTCCCTACACTCTGTTGCTTTATTTCTCTCTTTCTCTCTCTTCCTATCGCTCTCATTTCTTATTTGCTTTCTTTCTCTCTCTCTCTCCATCCCATCTCCTTCATGTTCCTTTCTATTTCCCTGTCTCCTTCCCCCCCTTCCCCTCTCTTTCCCCCCAGCCCATCTGCCCCCCTCTCCCCATGCTAAATCACCATTCACCACGGCTCTCTCTGTCTCCATGCCAGACCATCCTAATCCCTTATGTTGTGGATGTGCCTGGGAGCAGTAGTCATTAATATGAAGCTCGTGTCTAGAACTACAGAACCGTACTACTAGAACTAGAATCAGCC